CTATCAGACATTTAGTGAGTGCCAATTATATGCCAGACCCTGGCTAAGAGATATAGCTTCGGGCGGGGGGAGTAGAAGAGAGAGGAGCGCAGGGGAAGAATAATTATGGTTTCTGCTTTCAAGTAGCTTACAAATAAGAAAATCCTTAAAAAATACTGACAATAAAATGCTACAACATAATTCTTTTGAAATAAGAATTATTCAATGCTTTATAATGCAAACTAAAGAGCATGAGTATATAGAAGTTTCCAGTAAATTTATCCAATGTCTCCTAGGTGCTCACACTACTCTAGATAGGAATTAGGAGGAATAATTTTTAAAAAGAAAAAGTCAGAACAGCAAATTTTCAATTAAAATTTTTTTACCTTCAATATTTTCTTCATACTACTTGCTACCTTTTATAATAAACATGTCAATATTAAAATTTATTCCTAAAACTTGCAAACTGAACAGTTAAAAATATCTGATATCTTGTTATTATCTATTCCTTTTCATTTCTTCCTATATCTGTGCAATTTAATCAAAATCATTTTTAAAAACCATTTATAATCTGGCATATTTCTTAGAAAATCTACGTAATTCTCAGCCAAATTTAATTCACACTCCAAACAACTAAAAAAACTAAAGAAGCAAATAAAAAGTTGATATTATACATTAAAATATTGTTATAGAGTGTGACTAGACACCATATAGTCCATAATGGTTTAAAAGTCAAGGTTTACATAAAAAGAAATTAGAGAGAACAAAAAATAATACGTTCTCCCTAAACACAGACCTGTATGGGATCGAAAGTGTTTGTTGAGTTCTCCTGAGGAAATAAAACTTTTCCCACAAATACCACATATGTATGGTTTTTCACCTAGATGGAAAATAAAAGATAGCGAAGTGGTGTACTATACCAATATAATATTTATCAATTACAATATCTAAGTAAGCTGCTCTAAAATATTAAATTAAAACCTCTTTATATTGTACTTTAGAGGTATTTTCTGTGTGATCCAACTTAAATGAATACTAGTAATTATTTTACACTGTTCATGTAACCTGATGCTTGTAATATAATAAAACTTTATTTCTGCAAATTTCCTTCTAGTAGACTAGAGTTGGGCAAGAAGTTTTATTTTTATATGACTAAAAATATGTAAATTCATAAATCCATATTTTAATTCTTGCTGTCTACTATATTAAAGAAAAATAAAATCATTTATAATAGATCTATTAAAAATGTACCCTACAAAAAATTAAAATCTTTGAATAGAATATTTCAAAACTGATACTTAGCATTTGAAGCATGTTTAATTTACAAATCTTAGAATGTCTGTGTATGAAAAATCCTAAGAAGTTATAATAAAATCAATATTCTACCCAAACCCACCCTGACCCCTTAATTTCATTCTCCAGTTTTATCCAAGGGAAATGAAACTTCAAGAGGCTAAGAGTTTGTCTACAGTCATAAAGTATGTCTCAAGTTTATATATTGTCAAAATTATCTGATTTTAACGTATATGTTTCATGATAAAAAACTTCACCATGTATTTCACCCACCAGAAATAAGTCTTTTTTAAATCTAATATATATCTGAAAATCATAAACATAAAGATTCAAGAAGCACAAATAAAACATATATAACTACAAAGTCTGCAATATACTTTCTATAAAAGCTCAACTTCCCTTTTTCTTTTTTCTTTTTTTTTACAACTTTCCTTATTTTAAGCAGTCTCTGCATGTCCAATTCTTACCTGTGTGTTTCCGAGAATGAGTGATAAGAGAACTAGAGACAGCAAACGCCTTCCCACAAGTATCACACACGTAAGGCTTCTCTCCAGTGTGCCTGCGCACATGATAGGTCAGGGTGCTGGCTTGGGCAAATCGCTGTCCACACCTGTCGCAGACATATGGCTTCTCTCCACTATGTTTCCTATTAGTAAGTAAATACAGTTACATGTTGGTAAGGAAAACAATTTGAAAGTCGATCTATATAACAAGCATTTTTCATACAATATTTTATTTCATTTCATCTTAACAGACCCAGAAGATGTATTTAAAACCAAGTTTCAATGTATACTGTGAAAAATAAACATTTTGGTTGTTAAAAAACATTAGTTCTGAGACTAATTCAAAAAGTTTTGCCATCATCTTTATATGGTTGTCAAGTGCGTCCCTAATACTGCAGGCAATTATTTTTGCTTGCGCACTCACTCCTCACCACTCTTTCCTCGAACTTCCAGCACGTCCTCACCCATCCTCACTCTTAGCTGATGTCCTTGCTTCCTGTTTCACTGAGAAAAAGTTAAGCAATCAAAACCCTCTACCTAAAGACATCTGTACCTATAGAGTTTGCTTTCCTTCTTGTTAACTCTGAGGGTGACAGTTCACCTGAATCCAACTACTCCCATTTTGTACACTTAAGATACTATCTCCCTTGCCTACTCAGTGGTATTTCTCCTGCAATTTCCTCCATTCTACATCATCCATTTTCCCACCCCACTGGACTGTAGCATACAAATATACTGATTGATGCCTCCCATCATAAAAACAACAGACCCTTGACTTCACTTGCTCCTCCATTTCTCTGCTCCTGCTTACCAAAACCTTGCCTCTCCAGCTGTTCTCCTTTCATTACTTCTCTACTAATCTCTTCTCACCTCTGCTAAAACGCTGCTTTCGTCAAGAGCACTGCTGACCTATCACTTTGCTAAACCCAAGTCCATTCTCAGTCTTCATCTTCCTATCATCAGACTTTGACGCAGCTGATCATTCCCTTCTGGAATCATTTCCTTCACGTGGAGTCTAGGGCAGCACACTCTTTTGTTTTTTCTCCTGGATTAGCAGCTCCCTCCTAGTCACCTCTGCTGGTTCTTGCCCATCTCCCAGGACTCTGAATTACAGCGCCTCATGACGTAGTCCTTTGATCTCTTTTCTATCCACATCCATTCTCTTGGCGACCTCATCCAGTGTTACAGCTTTAAATATCATCTATATGTTGATGACCCCCAAATTTGTATCTTTAGCTCAAACCAGTCCCCTTGAACTCCAGACGTACATAACCATCTATTGTAATCTCCATTGAGATGTCCACCAGTCACCTCAAATTTAACATGTTGAGAACTCCAATGACTCCTGTGCGCCTGCTTACACTGCTCTATCCACAAAACTTCTCCATTTTGGTTAATGGTAATACCATCTTTTCAGGTGGCCAAGCTCAAAATCTCAAAATCATCTGTGATTTTATTCTTCCATACACCACATCCAATCTGCAGCAAATTCTGTTTGTCCTACATTTAAAAATATGTCCAGAATCTGACTAACACTTATCTTTTCCACTGCTACCACTCTGGCTGAACCAACATCACTCTCACTTGGGTTTTATCTAGAGACTCCTAACTAGTAACTTTGCTTCCACTCTTGCCATCCTATAATCTTTTCCTAATATAGCAGCCAGAGTGATCCTCTTAAGAGGCAGGCAAGATCACATCACTTATTTCTCAATCTCAAGAGTGAAAGCTTTATAATGGCCTACAAAACCTTACACCATCTGGATGCCTTATCACCATTCTGGTCTTATTTCCCTTCCTCACTTATTCCCTTCCAGCCACTATGGCCTCCTTGTGTGGTTCCTTGACTTGTGCTGAGAATATTGTATGGTGGAACCACAATTAGAACGCTACTGTCCTGAATTCTAATACAGTAGTCTATTCATAAGACTATGGTGAATGACAGACTCAGAAATCAAACAATTCTTGTTTTTGTTTTTTACCTTGCATGAATCTTGAGATTGCTAGAAGTTGCAAATTGTAAATTGCACACATCACATTTATAGGGTTTTTCCTCACCATGATGCATGCGACTATGGAAGACTAGCTGGCATTTCTGAGCAAATCCTTTATCACACAACTCACATTTGTATGGCTTCTCACCTAAAAGAAGTAGTAAATAAAATCTATATTTAGAAAGAAATATTCTGTTTCAGTTTCTTAAGCCATATAAGCTTTCAAAAGGGTTCATCAACAGTACTAGTTTCGGTATTCAGAAAATGTTAATTGCTAGGAAAAAGCAAATAGGATCTCTTCTTCCAGATTGACTATTGAAAACACTGGTAGAGTTAAAAGAAATGAGTGTTTCTCAATTCGTAACAGTGAAAAGTGATCAATGAGAGAATACATATTGCATCTTAAAAAGTACAAACCTAAGTGCACCAATAAAGGTAAATGTAGAAGCTGATGAATATGTGTATAATGCTAATAACATGTTCAGAAGTTGACAAAAGTCTAGGAAGCAGGTAGTGAGATGTGTTGGCAAAATCGGAGAAATGGCCTAAGTTGTAATTACTTTTACTCTTCACCAATTTTAATATCTTTCTCTGTTACATAGTAAGCTAGAACCAAATTTAGGCTTAAACTCTGAGAGAAAATGGTATAAAGAGCTCATGTATTAGGACTTCAGAGTACCAGTTACAATAAAACAAACAGCCATTAAATACTGGGTCACAATTACAAAGAAATTTTCAACAGTCTAACATGCTAAATACTTTTAAGAATACAAATATATATCAAATTTTGGTCACAAATAGTCAACACTATATATTGATATGTTCTCTAGTTACAGTATAAAAACAAGTATATCTCCCACAAACCAGTCTTACCTGTATGAGTTCTTACATGCGTTTTCAGCTGGTTACACTGGGTAAATGCCTTTCCACACAAGTGGCAAACATAAGGTTTGACTCCTTTATGTATTCTCATGTGCCTTCTCAAGCTGCTGGCTTCTGAAAACACTTTCCCACATGTGTTACACATTGGCTTGGCCTTGGAATACCTCTGATCCAGCTCTTCCCCAGAGCTTTCCAGCTCATAAGAGTTCTTGACACTGGCTATATTAGACATAGAGTGTTCTTTGAGAGCACAGTTTGGCTGTGATTTTCCACGTTTCCGTTTCACTGTAACAGTTTGCATTATATCTTGTGCTGGAAAAGTGTTTTCCACAATTGATGTCAACTCGAGTTCTGAATTATCATTTCTTTGTGCAACCTGTTCTATTACAGGTGTGGATAATTTATTTGCATCTAGGAATAACTCAACAGATGCATTCTCTAAAATGTCACTGGGATATTGCACTGTTTTATTCTGCCCTGTTTTCTGGGAGTTGAAGGCCTTCTTCTTCTTCTTAGTTTGAGATGACTTCTTTGCCAAAGCCACTTGTTTAGGATTTGCCTGAACTAAATCTGTAGACTCTTCCGATTTCTCCCGATTGTTATAATCTCGTAGAGTAAGAAGACAAGTCTGTTGATTCAATTCAATGTTTCCAGTAATACTAGATATCTCTGTAGAAGAGGGATTAGCAATAAAAGCAAAATCTTCCATCTTTATTTTACATTTAGTGACCACCTCTTCCACTTTGAGATAGTCAGCAGCCTGATGAATTTCTTTAACATTCCAACTGTAAGGAAACAAGGCTAAATGACAGTATTCTGATCAAAGAAAACCTGCTTTTGAAACAGAGCTGCACAAATATGTCAATGTCTTCTAAAGACCTAATGAAGCAGAATGATGAAAAAGGCATAACTAAAAGAAATGACAAGTTGACAACATTCATCCACTCACAATAATGTTTAGGCAAAAATTTCCACTTTTACAGAACTTTAAAAGATGAAAAAATAATGGTTATTCTCAGCTACCTATGTACCACTACAGAAAAACAAAATGTAAAGTTTCTATCTGTTTTAAAAAAACACTCGGACACAAAAGTACCTACTGGCAACTTTCTGCCTCTTCCCATTCATCCTGAGACCTCTTAAGATAGCCACTAACTCTTCTGGATTGGCAACAGGAAGAGTCTAAAAAACTTGTTTCCTATGGCCTTCCTCTGCTCCCCTCCCACTGTGAGGGAATTGAGTGGTGCTTCTCAAACTTTCCTACGCACGTGAATCATCAAGAGGTCTTGTTAAATGTTAGATTCACTAATTCTTTGATGGGCCCTAAACGTCTGCATTTCTAACACACTTCCTGGTGATGCCCATGCTGCTGGTCCATCATCACACTCGGAGGAGCAAGGGTTTAGAATGTACTAAGCTCTCTTGCAACCCTCCCGCTTTTGTGTGTGTGTGATATCAACCCAAATTAACTGGAGAGTTTGTCATATTAGAATTATATAGGAAAACTTAAGTCACCTGTTCAACACTGCAGTCAATATTTCCTCAGCATCTACCATGTGTGGTACTAAGAGGGATATTAAGAAATATCAAATAGTTCCTGCCCTGCAGAAGTATACAATATAATGAAAGGTTGATTACTCTAGTACTGGCCCTCACAATACTTGGGATGCTTCAATTTTCTCAGCTGTAAAATCAATTGAGTTGGTTTTAACACTAAAAATATGAACCTTTTAATTATTGAGGACACATGCACCTCTCACTCGAGTAACCTTCTGACTTGCCATTTTCCCCAAATGTTTAATTCTCCAGAAAAAAAAAAATCTCTTTTCGCTTTCCCTTATATATATGAGCCAGAAAAGGGTTTTAATCATAGCTAATAATATATAGTGCTACTAATAAATCTTTATTAAAAAAGGAGTAAAATTTGAAATGAAATAAAATATAACTAGTATCATGAATCTTTCAGGTCATTGAAAGTATACATATACACACACTACAGTATCTACAAATCTCTACCCATTTTCTCATCTAGTGAAACCTGCTTTGCCTCAAGTATCACCTGTCTCCTCTTTTTAAATTTAGCATTACAACAGCTTTTAAAAATGTGTCTTTTATTATAAACATAATCATTTTCAGCTGATTATAGATTAGTTGTATGGGCTAGTTTAGAAATCGAAACACCAGTTTAAGGAACATTTTATTCTCTGGGAAAATTCATCCCAAGTTCCTAAACATACTACAAATAAACTTTTGGAACATAACCTGTTCTTTCCCCTAGATAAGAAAACATTACTTAAGATACTCTTTTCTGGGCCGGCCGAGTAGCTCAGTTGGCTTAAGAGTGCGAGCTCTGAGCAACAGGGCCGCTGGTTCAATTCCCACATGAGCCAGTGATGCTGTGCCCAAGTTGAGCTGTCACTGAGCTGCCAACAGGTGGCAGGATGGCTCAGCTGGTGTAACAACAAAATTGCCCATTCGATGTATGCCCACCTGCAACTAAGACTGAACTTGGCACCTTGAGCTGAGCTGCTGCCCAGGTGGTTCAGTGGATAGGGCGTTCACTCTTAACAAGGCTGCTGGTTCAACTCCTACATGGGATGGTGGCTATGCCCACCTGCAACTAAGACTGAACTTGGCACCTTGAGCTTAGAGACCACGAGCTGCCGACAGGTAGACAGATGGCAACTGGCGCCCTCCACAACTAAGAGTGAAGAACAACAACTTGGCCGGTCCCCTTCCCCAATTCCCCAACACTGTTCCCCTCCACCAATCCCCCAATAAAATCTTAAAAAAAAAAAAGATACTCTTTTCTTATGGCCGCTGCCTTAATTCTGGAATATATATTTAATGAATGATCTTTGTAATCAAGTTAATTCTTCATTTGCAAAGATACAGCACAAAGATATGCCCAAGATATAAATACAATCTTATTCATCTTTTATATAAAATGTTTCTTCCATGTACATAGCATTGTCATTCTCTAAAAACACTACATTTCTTAAGCACTTTTATTAATTTTGTTACATAATCTATTATTAAATTACAATAAATGAGACACCAATAGAATGAAAGCCAAATTTACTCTATCACTTTTTATACTTAGGTTTCAAATTATAATTGTGCTTAGTGCTCCATACAATGAACCATCAAACAGATAACAAGGTCAGGTAGTCTTTAAGACTAATATAAACTAGCTCTGAGTCACACACTAATTGTTCAGTATTAAAAGAGTAATTCATACAAATTATTTATGTATTTCATAGACAGCCTATAATCTCAGTTACAGTTAAGAGAACCAATCAGCATTTGTTTATAACAATAAATGATCTGCTTTTGTTTATAAGCATGAAGTTACAGTGCTTGAAAACTTGCTTTCACCTTTTGAACAGTCACTGAAAGTCATTTAATTACAAACTGCAAAAATATTGATAGCTAAATGCTTTGAATAGCTCATTTAATCCGTAAGTCGCCTATGAAATCTATTATAATCCCATTTTACATAAAAATAAAGGATCAGAGGTCCAAAGAAGTAATTTTTCCTAGATCACAGTGTTAGAACTAAAATTTGACCAAGGTAATCTGGCTCTTGGGTCTACTTAATTCTCTATTATTTTGTTTTCTTAATCACTAAATTACGGGCTTTCTATTTTGGTATAAATCTTCTCTTACATTTGTGGCTGGCTCAATTAGTGCCCCAGAAAAGATATGTACCAAAAAAGATTGTCCTTCTGTCCTTCCTTCCTTCCTTCCTTCCTTCCTTCCTTCCTTCCTCCCTCCCTTCCTTCCTTCCATCCTTGCTTCTTTCCTTTCTGTCCTTTTCTCTCTGCCTTTCTTTCTTGTTCCTTCTCTCCCTCCTTTCTTTTCTATTTAGTTCAACATTTTAATGCACATATATTTTTAGGTGCTTAACATAATTTTTTTTAAATCTAAAATGCAAATGACTTATTGGTGGGAATGATGCTGAGGACGGCTGAGCAAAACATCTGGCTTTTCTTCACATTGGTTCTCTGCATGAAAGCTCAAAGATGCTCCTCGTGTGCTCAGATCAACTCAAGATTTTCCTAGCGAAGTTAATTGAGAAAGGGAAAACACTAAATTGAAGAAAAAACAAATTTACTGGTTTTGTGGTTATTTTATATTAAGTATTCTGAATTTTTAATCAGAGGCACTTATATAATCAACTATTCAGTAAATTTAAATTTATCATGTGAGATTAATCTATGACTCTGTTCCATTCCTTTAATCAACTTATACAGAACTGATTCAAAGATTTCATTAGCCATTTAAAAAATAATTCCAACACAGCATGTTTCCTTTTTAAAAGTAATAAGGAACATCATGATTCTAGATTTTTAAAGATGTATATTTCTACAATAAGCTGCAATGTAAAAGGGAGGGAAGGATTTTATTTAATGTGCATGCCCATATATCTAGAGATCATCTGGAAAAGAATGGAAGAATAGTTATCAAAATGTTAACTGGTTATCAGTGGGTGACAAAATTTCAGGTGTTTCCTTTGTCTTTTTCTAATTTTTCTCCAAGAAATGTAGGATTAATTGGGAGAGGAGGGTAGAGAAGTGAAAATAAAGGAAACTAATGTTCATTGGGAGATGGGCCTTCAAGTAAATCCTTAACCTTCATTGTAACACCAAGGTAGTTACTACCACCTCAATTTTACAGATGGGGGAACTGAGGCCCAAAGAGGTTGCATCTTCAAAGACACAAAGTGACTTGACAGGCAAGATCTAATTCTAATGCCAATAATCTTTCTATGTCAGAAAATTATGATCTATTCATATTCACACTTTCATAATATTGAGTTGTCGGAAAACTCATGATGCATTTTTGCAACTTTTCCTTCATCTGAAGGAAAGAAGACAAGGGTAATTTGAGTGGATTCTTTCCTTTTATCCCCTTCCCTTTTCCCCCCAATGCACTGGTATTAAGCTAATTATATAGTTCATAATGCATGGAAGACATAGTGCCTGCATTCTCAGATTCTTCAGAACCTACTTCATTAGTGCAGTGAGAGCATTAAGCATCTTAGAGAAGCATTCTAACACCTTGAACCTAACTTAAGCATTAGTGTTGATAACTTTAGAGAGATAACAGGAGTCATTGCCATTTACACTCCAATGACATTATTTTCCTGAATCAAAATCAGGAAGAGGTCCTGTACATTACCATTCATAGTTCCAACTATAAGTAGCACTATTAAATGAGCACAGAGGTTTTTCCTTTGTTCTCCCATCTACACTCCCTCACCCCAAACACCTTAAGAGGAAGCGGATAAAGAGTGAGGGGGAGAAAAGACCAGAGGAATATAAAGACCAGAAAGCAAGGGAAAACGAATTTACTTAGAACTCATTGTGTTTGATCTCCAAGTTTACATAATTGAAATCACAGAATTTGTTTCAGTAGGTAAATCAAATGTCAGAAACAAGGCTTTAATGGTATTAATACCTGTGCTTTTGGTGCTTAAAATTGTAGTGTGTTCATCCCAAATCAGTGATACTGACTTCTTAAAATTAAAAACAAAACAAAACAGAAAATAATAATATTGCACATCAATATTTGAAGACTCTCAGTTCAGGGACTGAATGTAAAAAAAAAAAATAATCCACTTTAGCTCTAAAGACTACTGACTAGCTTTTATAAGTGTAAATAAAATGTGTACTTTACCTGTCAAGATTTAAAGTTCCTGTGTATATAAACTCCAACAGTTTCTTAAATCCATCAGCCTTAACCTGACTCTGATCAAGAAAGACATTGTTCTCAGAAGTGCTTCTGTAGATCGCACCGAAATACTCACTAAACGAGGCAAGAACATTCCTATGAGCTTTAAACTGGAATTCTCCAATAACTATAGTGCAGTCACAAAGAAAGCCTGCTTCCCGTTGTTTGTTCAGTCTCTCTAAAAGGTGCTCACAGTGGTGCGAATACTGCATTTTGATATCAGAATGGAATTTTACCCTTGTTCTAAAAAACAAAAAGAAATAGTAAATCAGTAACCGTAACTTTACATCAAACTTTTCACCCAAGGGAAAAAGGGACATAGGACATAACATAAACAAAAATAAAATCAGTTCTGATTTTATCCCCCTCCACACCAAAAAATTCTTATCAAACAGATATGGTTAAAAATGCTGAAGGGGAGAAAAAAGTGCCTTTCTATCTTTGTTTCATCTTGGCCAATTAACACAATCCTGTGGACACATCAATAAATGGCGATGAGTGAAAACACTTCCACAAGCTGAAAGAAAGCCTCACAAAATTACATGCTCTTGCACCATTTTAACCTTCAGACTTTCAAGCTCAGTAGGCATACATACAATGTGTTAAGAAAAAAAGAAATGATTCCTTGGGACATATGGGGGAAAGACACGGTACAAGTTCAAGGCTGCTGTCAAATCACCGAAACGTTAGCTTCTGCGGTGCAAACAGTTGCTTCAAAACGCAAGACGCATGTCCAGGAGACGGAAGAATGAACAGGGCCAAAGGCTGTCAAAGGTTCCGTCTCTCACTCCGAAGAGGCCACACCACCTCATTTTCCCCTTCTCCACTCGAGGTGGCATCGGAGAGTGGCAACCAAAGCTGGGCTCTCCTGGCTACTGCCACCCTGCCCTTTTCCCAGCTCCTACTCCCCCGAACTCCCACAACAGAGGTTGTAGGCAAGGCCAACACCGGGGCTGCCTCGCGCAAGCTTTCCACGATAACACCTTCGCTCGACCTGAGTTCGAACGTCAAGATGGGTGCCCTCCAATGGCCCAGGGTCTGGAGAGTGCCGGGAGAGCGTGCTGGGAGTGAAGACAGAACTCACCTACAACAACCCAACGGGGATCACAGTTTCTTCGCTCTCTCCGCCATCTTGGGAGGACGTCACCCCGCCACGCTCCGCCTCTCCCTTCCTCCATGGCGACGTCACATCCCGCTCCAGTCATCCAGCGGTAACACTGGAGGCTTTAGGACCGTGGAAGTCCAACCCCAGTCTGGGCTGAACCGACTGGCCCACAGAGAGTGTACTTGCTATCATGCCAAGGGCCCCGAGCAAAATAGCCAGCGTCAAAGGTACGAGACCTAAAGGCTCGCTCACAGCGCCCCGCCTGTGTTCCTCATTCTCAGCATTCTGGTCGCCCGACAGTCGGCGTCTCGCGCTCGGTCTCCATTCTGGGCCCAAGTCCTGCAGCGCCGCACCGCAGGCCTCTTTCCAGGAGCCAAATTGCGCACTGCATCCTGGGGCTTGTAGTTGCTTGTCTTCTCCCATCATCCTCCCCTTCCTCAGGACCCCACGAGTGGGAACAGCTGCATTGTGTACTCGGGCTCTCGGCTATGGGGAACTTTTGAGTTGACACTGATCACCCCTTTTTACTTTACATGCCCGAAAGCTGTTGGGACTCCCTGGGTTTTGTTTGCATCAACCAACTATAGCCCAGTTTCCAGGATACTCTTACCTGGTAACAGACGTCTAATGAACCAAAGCGAAGCAAAGCAGTAGGGCACACCGGGCATGCGCAACGTTGGAGGAAGGCGGGCATTATACCGGAAAAGGTTCTGAGTCTGAGCTCGAAACATTTTAATACAATTATTTACATTGAATTCAGGTTTTGTACAAGTGAAGGCAAGGGATGCCAGTCAGCTGCGTAATATACAAAAGGTGCAGGACCAGTAAGATAATAAGGCGTGTAATGTTAGGGTGGATTCTTCCTTTCCTAGTACCCGCGGACAGCACAAATCTCAGAAAACCAAAACTTCAACATTTTTTACTGTTAAAAGTTATGTCGGACTATAGGAAATTTACTCGCGACTTTATTTTAAAGGACTGTCTCAACTTGAATTTATTCGTTTCTTTCCTGAGATTTTTTTCCAACCAGATTGTTTGCTCTTTTTATAATATTTCTGTCTACTCAATAAGAACCATATTTATGCATAAAGCCGTTATGTTTATAACGAAAACGTTTGAGGCTCGTTCTTTCTTGATTTCATCTTTCTGAGTTTTCTTTCTGATTCCACTTGTATTTTTGTCGAAACCCTTTTCGGTAATTTATTAATTCAGAAATATTTGAGTCTCCATTAGGTGCCAATTATGACACTAAGTATATAGAATAAGAATAAAGCATGGTCTCTGGCGTTTAGAGAAACCTGCAATTTCAAGGGGAAAACTAATGGAGAACCAAATTACTTGTGATACAAAGAGTGCTCAGAGACCACAGGCTGAGTTTTTTACACTATTTGATCTCCCCTTCCAGGCTGTACATTACATTATTTTTCCAGTATCAGGTTGTGAGTTGAACTCAAAAAAAAATTTTTTAAGTATGGAACACTTCTTGCACATGGCAAGCCGTCAATAAAAACAGTTGGTGAGAGAATAAAATAACACCCCAACTGAAAGCTCAATTTTCCAAGGTTTGGCAGGTTGTTACCAAGATTATATCTTTTTAAACACCAGAATAATATTAAAGAAAAAGCCTGTTTCCGCCCGGTTTCGAACCGGGGACCTTTCGCGTGTTAGGCGAACGTGATAACCACTACACTACGGAAACCTAGCCGCTGTCTGTGCTGCAGAAATTCCTAGATATAGATATAAGATGCAGTTTACAAAGTTTATGAGATTATTGTAACTTCGCACAGAAAGAAGAAAAAATAACCCCAGACAAGGGAAAGTAACGTGCAATTAAGTAGTGCTATTTCAAAAGTTGGAATTTGCGTGCACTTTTTTCAAAGCCCCGTTAGTACTGCTGTAGAAACCAGGCACCCACTGGTTGCCCTTTCTTGGGGTACACTTTCTTCAATGGGAAAGAAGCGTTTGGTTACGTATCTTTCACCCGCGTCGCGCTGCTGAGAGTCTCGGGCGAGTTTTGGGGCTTCCGCCGGCCTAGCAGAGCTGGCGGCTCGCGGACCCTGGAGTCCTGCTCCTGCAGCGAGCGGCACGCAGCACCGAACTCCAACATTGTGATTTAGTCTGCGAGAAAGCGACTCTTCCAGCCCCTGGTGGAAGGATGTGTAAATAGCTTTTGAATTTCTTCCCTTGCTTCTGTAGACTACCCAGGGATTTCTAATTTGTATACTTACTTTAAAATCCTCTCTACAGGATGTACAAAATTGAAAGGGTAAAAAAAATCACACACCAAGATGCACCTTTCGGCACTTCAATTTTTAGGTGCTTAAATTTTTCTAAGCCTCAACTTCGTATGACTATGGAATAGCACTTTTCCTGCGAAGAAGCAGACGCATCCATAGGCCTAAAAATCAAGAATTTTTAGGGAATGAGAATGAGCTTTCATACTACCCCGGGAGATAACCTCATGAGATTTCTAAAATAAAAAGTGAGATTCTACCATTTTGGTTTTGAATACATTTTGCTTAGAAACTACAGGAAAGAAACACAACAAAAACACTATATAGAAACAATAATAAAAGTCTTAAAAACCTACTTTAAATCCTAGCATTTTTTCCCCCTTCTCTTTTCAGAAGTTCCCGAGGGTTTCAAAAGCACGGACTGTGCCTCCCCTCCTGCGACAATTTGCTCCTGTCAATTCTCCACCTTTTCCCAATTTCAAGGGCGCATTACCGAGCTTTCTTCAGGCCCCCTGGACAGACACCTGTAATAACCAGAATTCAACCAATGGCTTTGGGAAATAAAAATTTTATAGCTCATCGAAGTATCAGAGAAAGCTATTTGTGAAAGGTTCGATTTGTATCTTTAGGGAGGAAAGTCAGGTTTTCCTGACAATGGTATTCCGAGGTTCCAGAGTGCAGGAGACCGGCCCAGTGACACCCAGAGACGGGCGGTATTTTGGAGCGCACTGTGCCTCGGGAGAGTCTATGAGCCTCGAGTTGTTTCGGCCTCGGCCCGCACCAGCTGGCCTCAGGCCCCGGGGGGGCATGAGGGGGCCTTTGTGACGCGGCGTCCAAGTCTCAGACCCGGCGCATCATTGGAACCTTGAAAGGTTTCCCAGGGGCTGCGCCGCGCACTTTCCGCCCTCCTGGCTCGGCCTGCAGCGAGAGCAGCGGGAGCGGCCGGGGTACCAGGGGCAGCGGCGGCGGTATGAGCTACTACCAGCTA